CTGAGAGAGAGAGAGAAAGTGAGCAATCAACACACCCCTTCCCTGTGGGTGAGGGGGGAAGGCCTTGCCACACTCTCTTCTCCTCCATTCTCTTGGGATTCTGGACATGCATGCACACGTGCCTGGCATGGTCCAGGCATGATTTTCAAGCCTCTGGTCCCAGACTCGAACTGCAGTCTGCTATGTGGAAATTCAGCACTCTAGTCACCATGCCACCTGCTGGCCCCCAGCAATGCTTTTTTATGCTGTCACCTATTATCTTATGGACTTTTAATCCTTTCTTTCTGCTCTGATCTACCAGGCCTGTTTTTCAGTGTGTTTACACTTAAGGTGGAATTTCTCTTTCTGGGAGTGACTCTAGCTCACTCGTGAGTGTTTGTTTCCCCTTCTCTTTTTTCACACAACTTTTCTAAAGTTCTAGTGCTCTCCACAGAGGCTTGTGGGACATTGAGAGGTAGCTATGCTAGAATTTACTGTTTATTTTTCCATGTAGCAGCCTTTAAAGTTTGTGATATTCTTCTCTTCAGTTACAATATCAGCATTGGTTCTGTGTTGTTTTATTAGATCTTCGTGTTGATCTGAAGAATATTTTGGAGGATGTGGAGCAATTTAGATTTAAGGGCCAACATTATCCTTGAGCTAATTGGAACTCTGGCCCATATTATTATTATTATTTTAAATAGATTTTGCTATATGGCACATGTGCTTGCTAGAGACTCATGCAGAGATAGAGAAACAGAAAGCAAGAAATCACTCCTTAGAGGGGATGGCCACTCCACAATCCTTCTTCTCTCTTCTCCTCTTGGGATTTTGGGTACACACACATGCGTGCCCAGTGTGAGTTTCAAGCTGCAGGTCTGGGACTTGAACTATGGTTGTCCATGTGGGAGACCAGTGCCTTAAACACGATGTCACCTCCTCACCACCACCCCCATAATAATATTCTTAATTTCTGATTTTCTCACCTCCATGTCTTTGTTTATGCTGTTGGGTCCTCAGAAGTCATGACACATTTTTGCATAGAAAACCAGAAAAATACGTCATGACTTTTCCAGTGACCCAATATTTCTTTTCCTTGAATCCTTTTGCTTTCTTTTTGGCAGTTCATATAGTCTCTCCTTCCATGATCCCCACCTCCACCTCCCTGCAAGCTACAAGTGAATTTTCTTCTTTCTGAATTCCCACAATTGATTACAGTAGGAAATATAGATGGTATATTTACTATAAAAGCATATCTATTGCCCATTTCTATATCTCATTGCTGTTGTTCTCTTCATTGTGCTTTTTACATACAGGTAAGTAATCAACTTGTTTTTTTTTTTTTTTTTAGAGGTTTTTGCTATAGGACGCGTGCGCTCGCCAGACAGACAGAGAGAGAGAGACAGAGAGACAGAAAGCAAGAAATCACCCCCCAGGGTGGGTGGCCATGCCGCAATCCCTTCTCCTCTCGGGATCTTGGGCACGCATGCACACGCGCCCGGCGTGAGTTTTAAGCCACCAGGTCTGGGACGCAAACTGCAGTCAACTACGTGGGAGTCCAGCGACATAGCCATTACGCTAACTGCTGGTCCCAGTAATCCACTTTTTTTCACATACATTTGTTTTTGTTGTCCTCCCTCACAGTTTTTTGTTTGTCTTTCAACTTGGTTATCACATATTTTGCCATAAAGAAAATTTAAGACTTCATATAGTTAACATCGGAAACAGGTTTTAGTTTTCTTATTTCTTTCCTACCCAAGATTGTAACACTGTTCTTCTGTGTCTTTTTCTAGTATATTTTTCTAGTATAACAATTTTCCAACTCACTTTATTTTCTGTTGACTTAAAATGTCACCCTTTTATTATGGAACGTGAGATTGTATATGGGGAAAGTGAGAAATCACCCCTCTTCCCAAGAGGGGACGGTCATGCTGCAATCTCCTCTCCGCCATTCTCCTCCTGGAGTTTTGGGCATGTGTGCACCCAGCATGATTTTCAAGTCACCAAGTCTGGACTGGAATTGTAGTCAGCCCTGTGGGAGTCCAGCGCCTTCATCACCACCCCACCTGCTGGTCCCTCAGCTCACTATCTTAATCACATCTGCAAAGTTCTTCTGATACGTAAGTAACAGGTTCCAGGGACTAACCATAGACATCTTTAGGAGGGGAGGGGTCATTATTCAGCCTCCCACACTTATCCTTGACATTTAGAAACCATTAGCTTTGGTATGTGGGTGCACTTTGCCAAACCTTATTATTTTGTATTTGTTTTCCCATTGTTTTTAAATGATTTCATTTTTGGTTGTCGGTTGATTTGTCTAGATTTACTGGCAATTACATCATTTGTTCCTTTCTTTCTGCTATTCATAGCTTTTCTTCTTCCTTGTTTTTTTTTTTTTGTTTGTTTCCTTCATTGTCTAAAATCTCCTGACTAATGCTAAGTAATAGTCATGAGACCAGACACCTTGTATTGTTCTTGACTTTATTAGAAATTGCTTCACTCTTTTACCACTGAGTGTGATGGTTTCTAGTGAGCACTATTAAATTAAGGTGTGTCTATGAAATTAAGTCCTAGTTCCCTCAGATCTAAAATCGTGAATGTATACGAACGTAGCACCCATTCTAACTATAAACGCAACCATATGGTTTCTCTCTTTGGATTATGAATAGCTTTTTCAATAAGGGTCCCATCTGTATTCTATACAGCTTCTTTGGTCATAGAGTTTGGTTCTTTGAATGTACTGCTGACCTGTTGGCTAGCTAGTATATTATTTTGATTTTTTGCATTTATATTAATGAGTGGTTTTGGGATAGTGTGTTTGGGGATTGGTTTTGTCATCCTTGTCCAGTTTGGGCATTGCGGGTTATCTAGTCATATTGAAGAAATTGGGAAGCTTCCCATCTTCTTTATGATCTAGAACTGCTTAAGAAGTCTTAGGGTAATTTGTATTTTGAAAGTTTCAGAAATGTGGGGCTCCTGTGGCACTCCTACTGCTAATCTCTAAAACCATCTTCTATACCCGGCAGTGGGCCGCATGACCCTGAATCATCTGAACTCACTTACCTGCTATGTCTTGGCTGCTTTTGAAACGTAGTGTGTGACCCATGGAACAGGTTTCCTCTACATAGAGAGGCGTTGTGCCTACCAACCAGGCTTCAATAACAGGAACTGTCAGGCCAAGAGGTTACACAGCTTCGCCTGTCCTGGGGATTTTCTTTTCTTTTCTGTTTTTTTTTTTTTCTTGCTTTGTTTTTAGGTGCTTTGGGAGTTGCCTTTATGACTTATTGATCATCAGGGTTGCTCTAAAACTTCTTAGCAAGTCTGCTGTCTTCTTTCCAGTTTAGGGACAGAGATGATTGTTGAAGGCAATAAACTCCGATGGCAGAGTTTCGAAGAAATAGCCTTTTAAAGAGCTTGGGGTGTGCCTTTACACCAAACTCCATCAGATCTGAACTCGCATTTGGATCCATTACCACGACACCGAGAGGAGACCGAGAAATGCGTCTTTGATCATAAGAGATGAAGGGAGCCAAATCAAGAGAACTCCTGCCCCCTGCTCCTTTATTATTATTATTATTATTATTATTGCTAGAGGGTAATATGCTTGCCACAGACAGACACAGAGGGAGAGGAGGAAGCAACCCCCACCAGGGAATGATCACGAGCAATCTCTTCTCCTTTTGTCCATCCTGTGAAGATTTGGGCACACACACATGCTGGGTGCATTTCTCAAGCCATCTGGTCCGAGGCTTGAACCATGTGGTCAACCATGTCGATCCCACTATTTTAGTCACCAGGCCATGGAGCCAACTCTGTTGCTCATTTCCATCATGAAAAGACGGACTGCTTGAAATAGCCTTTTTCAGTACTTCAAGGAACAATTTTCTGCTGAGATGTTGCTTTCAGCTTGGAATTTCAAATTGATACTTCTTTGTGTAAATCAGATTGCCCAAGGCCCAGAATGGTGGATTATGGTTTTTAGCTTAGTAAAACTAAGGGAATTTACAGTGAATAGATGGAAATAATAATTATTAAGTGTGACTTCTGACTTTATGTAATTGTATACCTTAGTGGGTACAGTACGGTTCCTCCACATAGGCCTACTGTGTGTAATATGCAGACATATTTGTCTTCTTCTACATTGGACATTACTTTGCGTTGCCTACATTTAGAAATAAATCTACCAGTTCCTTTGTTTTGCTTTTAATTGCCAGTGGGTATGTTCATATGCCAGGCAGAGACAGAAAGAAGGAGGAAGCCTGCCCCAGTGGGGCACGGTCACACTACAATCCTTTCTCCTCGATTTCTCCATCCCGTTGGGCCTTGGGAGATGCATGTGGATACACACCTGGTGTGTTTTTTCAAGCTGTCAGAGCTGAGATTCGAACCATAGTTGACTGTGTGGGATCTAGCTCCCTTAATTACCAGGCTACCAGTTAATTTTTTTTTTCCCCGAAGTATATATTGAATGGTCACTGTCATTTTTACTCTGTTGTGGTACGCCATTCCACAATCTTTTAGACTGAAATAATTTTTAAGAAGTATCTTCTCATTGGGCATCTTCAGATCCTAAATCATTCTTAAGGACCAAGATAACCTAAATTTAAAATCGGTGTTTCTTGGACACTACTATCACCGATTTCTGAATCAAACTCTCTCTCTCTCTTTTTATTAAAGAGAGATTTTTGCTATAGGGCATGTATGCTCACTGGAGCGAGAGAGAGAGACAGAAAGTGAGAAACATCCCCAGGGGCATGGCCACACTGCAATCCCATTCTCTTCTCCGAATCTTGAGCACGCATGCACATACACCTGAGTTTGAAGCCACTGGGTCCAGAACTCAAATTGTGGTCAACTATGTGGGAGTCCAGAATGTAACCATTATGCCATCTGCTGGTCCCCTGAATTAAAATACTTTTAAACTCCCCCCACACAAATGCTTGTACTTGGAAAATTGCTTAATTGAAAGGTAATATTTTTCATATAGGGTATGAATTGATTTTTTATTCTTCCTGCTGCAGCAAAACAGATCATCAGCAATATCTCAGTGTTTAATGAGACCTGCTTAAGATGGCGAAGTATGAAGACACCTGAACTAGAGGAGATGTATTTAGTAAGTCACTGGAAGTTTGTCTTTCTAGATGTTTGCCTTATGTGGGAGCTTTTTTTTTTTTTTTTTTTTAAGGTTTTTGCCATAGAGCGTGTGTTTGCTGGAGAGAGGCCGAGACAGTGAGAGGGAAAGTGTGAAATCACCCCTCAAGAGGGTATGGCCACATCGCAACCCCTTCTCTTCCATTCTCCTACTGGGATTTTGGGTGCACATGCACCTGGCATGAGTTTCAAGCTGCCAGGTCCAGGACTTGAACAGCAGTGGGCCATGTGGGAGTCCAGTGCCTTAATCACTATGCCACATGCTGGCCCCTGTGTGGCAGGTTTAAAAAATATCTGTGAAACTAAAATTCAACTTTAATAGATGCCTTTTTTTAGTTTGCTTTAGGATGTCTTTGCTCACTGGAAAGAGACATAGACAGAAAGAGAGTGAGAAAACAGTGCCCCCAGGGGGATGGCCATGCTGCATTTTCTTCTCTTCCATTATCTTCTTGGGATTTGGAGCATGCATGCACATGCACCCAGTGTGATTTTCAAGTTGCTGGGTCCAGGACTTGAACCATGTGGTTGACGTGGTATCCAGCACTTTAAGCTCCACACCACCTGCTGGCTCCACTTTAAAACATTTTTTTATTGAGGGACCAGCAGTTAGCGTAATGGCTATGTCGCTGGACTCCCACATAGTCGACCGCGGTTCATGTCCCGGACCTGGTGGCTTAAAACTCACGCCGGACGCGTGTGCTTGCGTGCCCAAGATCCCGAGAGGAGAATGGAGGAGAAGGGATTGCGGCGTGACCATCCCCCCTGGGGGGTGATTTCTTGCTTTCTGTCTGTCTCTGTCTGTCTGGCGAGCACACGCACCCTATAGCAAAAACCTCTCAAAAAAAAAAGTTTTTTTTATTGACATGTGCACTGTATATGTGAGAACAAGATAGAGAAAGGTGCCAGTATTGAAACATGTATATATTTTTTATTTATATTTACATATTTATTTAAAAATATATTTATTACCCTTACAATATTGTAACAGTATTGTTTACAGTATGATAACTCTAATATTTGTTTACTCTTGCATTTCACTTTCTTTCTTTTTTTTTGAGAGATTTTTTTGTTATAGGGTGTGTGTGCTCACTAGAGACAGAGAGAGAAAGTAAGAAATCACTCCGTGGGGGATGGCCACTCTGCAATCCCTCCTCTTCCATTCTCCTCTCGGGATCTTGGGTATACATGCACACACACCTGGTGTGAGTCTCAAGCCACCAGGTCCAGGAAGTGAACCATGGTCCACCCTATGGGAGTCCAGTACCTTAACCACTCCACCACCCGCAGGCCCCACATTTCACTTTCTCAATACATTTTAGAGTCAAGGAGGAGAGAGGAAGAAAGCTCATGGAAAAGGTTAGGTACTGAGATAGTTGGAGCCTCTCAATTCAGCAGCCGACCCAGTGAGATGTTTTTATGTTTCAGTTGCACATCTGGGGCCAGAGATGGTATCAGAAGGAATTTGTCCAGGAAATGATCTTCAATATCACGACCAGAAGCCAGGCCCCCGAAATATGCTTGGACTTGAAAATGGGAACCGACTACAATGTCAGCCTCAGGGCTTTGTCTTCTGAGTTTCCGGTGGCCCTCACCCTGACAACCCAGATAACAGGTAAATCCTGAATAACAGCCCAGGGCTGTGCGAGGGCTGGGTAAGGAGGAACGCCACTGCTTCTATCATAATATAGTGAACTTCAGGAGAGAAAGGAAAGGATGTGGGTTGGGGAGAGGCTCAGAAGTTTGCAATGGTGACTACAATGTTTCTTCAAAAAGTAACCAAAACCAAATATTAACATTGTTTAAGCCTGGGTAGTGTGTACATGAATGTTGGTTACTTTTTTTCTAGATACTTGGAGGATTTTAAATGTTTTGTACTAAAAAAAGACTTCTTGTTATTGTTTCTTTCTTCTTGGTAACATATTTCATTGATATTATGTTGCAAATACCTCAAGAGTAGGTTACTATTGGGGGAAATGATTACAGCCTCGTTATAGGCCCTAAGTACATTCACTTTCCATTCATTTTCCTCTCAAATCTGTGATCTCTCCATCCCCAGCATGCTCTGAGCAAATACTAGGAATATTAACTTCTCAACTCTTAAAAAAAAAGTTAATTAATTTTGCCATAGGGCACATAGAGGAGACTCTAGTCTCTCACTAGAGAGAGACTAGGGAGACAAACAGGAAAAGTGAGAAGTCACCCCCAGGGAAGAGAGCCAAGCAGCAATCCCTTCTCCTCCATTCTCCTCCCTGCCATGTGCACACACGTGCCTGGGGTGATTTTCAAGCCCCTGGGTCTAAGACCCGAACCTTGCAGACCACATGGGCTATACACCCCAGCCACCGTATCGCTACATCCCAGCTTCTTGATTCTTATTTAGCAATAGCTGAGAAATTAGAAGTGGTCAGAAGAGGCCTCCTCACTCTCTATGTTCCATTCCTACTTGCATCCCATGTATTGGGTCATCGGGAAAGTCCCGACACATTTTCACATCGAAAAACAGAAAAATACGCCATGACTTTCCCAATGACCTCGTATTTTGCTTTCCCTCCCACCCCTGCTCCTATGTCAGACTTCTGTCCTACCCCTTTCTGCCTAATCACCTCCCCCACCAACTACAGAATTAGTCCCAGTGCCCCAAGGATGTTGTCATCTCTCTCTCATTAATGAAAAGAAAGAGAAATAACTAAGTGGACCTCCTCTGAGCCCAGATTCCCCTCCAGCTATGGTGTCTTCTCCCGGTTTCTCTCTACATGAAAACTCCTTGAAAGCCCCACATCCTCACCTCCTATTTCCCTTAACTTGTTCCATTGGGGTGGTATTTGTTTTCATTGCTTTTCTTAGGGCCCTCTGCTCTGCCTGTGTCTTGCCAAATCCTATGGCCAATGTTATTCTTGCTGATTTGCTCTCCAGCAGTGGACACTGGCCCTGCTTGAGTATCTTCTTTCCTGGTTCTGGTTCCTCTGACCTCCCAGGTGCTCATTCTCCGCCCTGTTTATGTGCTCCGTGCAGTCTTCCTGACCCTTTCAGCCTCTTCCTCCTCCCTTTTCTTCATTATCTGGCCTTTCTGCCTAGGAGATCTCCCAGTCTCACGGCAATAAATTACCCATGGGCTAAGGATTCCCAAATCCAGCCTGTCCTCTGAGCTCCAGACTCAGTGTCCACCACCTTCTAAACACACCCTACTGAGCACGTCCTAGGCAAATCAAAAGGATGTTGGATCTCTCACCTCCTTCCTCACCCCCAGATCTATCGCCCGCCCCGGTTTCGCCCTCTCAGTTACTGGCATTCCTATCCATGCAGCTGCTCAGGCCAGAAGGGAGTTGACTCCACCCTACTCCCAAATTGCTATCCATTAACCAGCCTCGTTGTTGCCTCGCTGTCTGAGGTGTGTTCCGTATCCGGCCGCTCCTCCCCGCCTCTGCCTTTGCTGCTAGCAGCCTGATCCAAACAGCCTCCTGGTGCTTGTCCTCCTGCTGCAGCTTCCTAACCGGCCGCCCTGCTTCCACTCTTGCCTGCTCTCAACCCTCAAGACCTTGGTCTCTTCACCATAATTTTAAAAAGATGGTTCAGGGGCCAACCTGGTGATGAAGGCAGCTGGATCCTACGTGGCTGACCACGCAGTCTGAGTCCCAGACGTGGCAGCTTGAGAAACGCATGGGGCACGTGTGCTTGCCCCACGTCAGGGGTCGTGGTGGAACCATGCCCTCTAGCGGGCACTTTCTCACTTTCCATTTCTCTCTCTCTCTCTCTCTCTCTCTCTCTCTGACTCTGGTGAGTGCACGCACTCTCTGGCAAAAAACATTAAAAAAAAAAAAGAAGACTCCCCCATTGTGAGCGTAGCCTGACCACGCCCCCCTGGTAAGTGGTTTCTCCCTCTCCCTCTCTCTCTGTCTCTCAGTCTCTCTGGCTAGCACATATAACCTTTGGCAGAAGAAAAAAAGAATCATCATCTAAAAAATTCAAACAAGAACATGTCAGCAGAGCTGAAAACTCTGTGATGAGTTTGTTTTACTGTTAGTATGGAATTCAAGTTCCCTTCCATGAAACACGGAACCTGGCCCCTGCCCACCTCAGTGAACTCGGTGAGTTCATCTCCCCCGCTTTCTCTTTCATTAAGTAACAACTGTCTTTCTCACCTTCTTCTCCCTGTTCCTTAAATGGTTTAATCTTGTCCCTGTATCCAAGCCTTTCCATCTGCGGCTTACTCTTCCTGGGATACCCTTTCCACATGGCTGCTGCTGCTGCTGCTGCTGTTCTCCTCCTCCTCTGTCTCCTCCTTCTGCTGTTTCTCATTTTTCTTTCCTCCGTGTGTGTGTGTGTGTGTGTGTGTGTGTGTGTGTGTGTGAGAGAGAGAGAGAGAGAGAGAGAGAGAGAGAGAAAAGGAGCCCCCGACAGGGCTTGGTTATGCTGCGATCCTTTTTCCTCCAGTTCTTCATCCTATCAGGATCCAGGCCATGCATACACACCTGGCGTGTTTTTCAAAGAGCCAAGATCCAGACTAGAACCCTAACCAGCCATGTGGGATGGGTTTTTCTCTGGGCCGTGCTTAACCACTGAGCTATGGAGCCAGCCCCCCTCATGGCTTCTTCATAAGCTTTCAGGTGTCTGCTCAAATGTCATTACCTTAGAGACCTTCTCCCTGACAGTTCTTTCAAAAACATCCCCCCTGGGGCCAGCAAGTAGCATGGAGATTAAGGTGCTGGATCCAGCTCGGCCAACTCTGTGTTTGAGTCCAGGACCCAACAGCTTGGGAAACACACCAGGTATGTGTGGGTGCGTGTCGAAAACCTCGAGAGGACGGAGGAGAAGGAATTGCGGCATGACCATCCCCCCGAATGATTTCTCACTCACTCTGTCTTCCGTGAGCACACTTGCCCAGTGGCAAAAACCTGCAAATAAAACAAACAATAACAACACACACACACACACACACACACACCTTCCCTAATCTCCACCCCATTACCTTCTATCCACCTACTCCACTTACATTTCCTCAGATAACTTGTTTTCAGGGGTTTTATTTATTTATTTTGTTTAACCATTTATTCCTTCCTCCTTTACTAAAATGGGACCTGTTGGAAGACAGATTTTTGCCAGTGCATTCTATTGAATCCCCAACGTGGAAGGATAGAATCAACACATAGCACAGCAGACCTGTTTCCGATATTGGCCAGTGGGTGGAACAGGGGTTGAGGTGGCTAGCCAGAAAAGAATGCCCTGGATTTTGGGATGGAGAGTCAAGTAGTATTCAATCTGGGTATCTTCCCATGGGGACTTACTTCAATAAGTAACTATTCAGCTCTCCAGCCCTTGTCATATGTGAATGGCTTGTGTTTCTGATTTGAACAAACATTTTCTATTTTTCGAGGTAGGGTGTTTCATCTGTAGTCACCTGTTTCTACCTTGTTTTGAGGCTGAATACAACCCTAGCTCAAGCTCCTGGTGTCTACGCTCACAGCCAGTAGGGGACACTGTTGAGCTGCTAAAGTTCACTGAGACCGCGATACTCTTAAAGTTCATTGAGACCGTAACTGCCTATTTTCCAACTCTACCTTACTTTAGAGGATTTGCAATTTAAAATAAGCATGAAAATTCAAGTTGTTAAAATCTGGTGAAAGAGTAAAGAAAAAAAAAATCTCCAGAAGACCCAACCTTTTCCTCTTACAAAAGGGGGAAAATGAGAACCTCTGTGTGGCTATGAAGAGGCAGGCCACCTAAGCTGTGTGTGCTTTGTTTTGGTAAAATTAGGATCGTCTGAATTTTACCAGAAATGTTAGGCTAAGAATTTGGGCCGGGAACATGCAGCAGCTGGTTTCCCAGAAGGAAAGCGAGTGGAATTTCCCCTCCAAGTGTCTTACATTAAACTAGATCGCACTGATGGGAACCGGATGAAGCAAGCAGTTTAAATATATTGCTGACCTCAGAGGAAAGGGTAAGTTCTAGGGATGTTGAGGGACAGAGGCAAGTGTTTCAGTGGAGGCAGGGAAGAGGGTGCTGGTGACCAGGCGAGGTGACCTTCCTGGTCACAAGTGTGTCTTCTTCGTGGTGCCCTACTCAGGTGGCTCCTTGAGCTGAATTCTTCAGAGTAACCCCACCATCCACTCCTTCCTTTAGGGCAGGGTGAAGAACTAACTTTCATCCTTGTCATAGACCGTGAAGAATAAGAAGAGCTTTCACATATTGGTTATGCAATTTTCTTGCCAAGCCTAAAAGCTTATAGGCAAAACAGTTTCTCTTTATAGGGAGAGAGAGAAAACCAGAGAGAGTAAAGTGGAAGGGAGGCAGGTTGGGGTGGAGAGAGAGCGAGTGCATGAATATAAAGGCAAATGCAGGCGTAGGTGTGAAGACAACTGGGCCTCTTGTGCTACCCCACCTCCTCTGAGGCTCAGTATTTATTACGGAACCAAGAATGCTGGGGAAGAACTGGGAAGATGGAAAGGAAGTTATTCTTGCCCTTGTCTACCTTCGGTACTAAGACCTGCACCTTACATGAGAAATTTCCCCTCCATCTCTAGTTTTATTCGTGATAAGAATATGAGCAAGTACTGGTTAGGAAGACAGCTGAGGCCGGCCCCGTAGTGTAGCAGTTAAGCCCCGTACATAGGGAGC